TCATTAATAAAAATCAGCTCCATTCCAATTTAACCCACCAAAGCGACATATCTTATTGTTTCCTCCATAATATTTTTTTAAGGACATGGTTCATTTGAAAAAGTCATCACCTTGAAAATTCATTATTAATAAAATACTTGGGAAAGAGTGCATCAGGCTGTCCCTAAATCTGATGTTACTTGTTAGGCATGACATGCTAGCACTGTCTGTCTTTTTGTGTCTTGCATGTATTTACCCCCTAAATGACCTTACTTTGAATTCAAAATCCAAGCCTAGGGTCTTTGCAGCAGCAGCAGCTCTGAAAACAAATGCTGGACTTTAATGTCTGTGTATTTTGGGAAATTTCAACTTTTAATTTAATACAAAACTTTTGAAAGTGTAAGTATGGCTTACTTTTCATAATAGGTACATTCCTGATAATTTGAAAGAGAGCACAATAATATAATTTTAGTTCGGTGGTTCCCTTATATTCTTGGTAAAGGGTGAAAGAGCAGGGACTGGAGTCAGTAATCCCCAATGGACCCTTCCAGAAGTAACATTACATATCTGCAGCACAGCAAAAAAAAATTAGCCCAACCCTTTCAGAAACCGTCAGTAGTAAATTATATGTTTTTCTCATTGCTATTATGATGACCATTAATACCCTAACTTCTTTTTTGTATGCCAGGCTGTTTTACAGCTATTTCCTACTTTCATTGAGTTATTCAACTATTTATTAAAAAAAATTGGATCCCAGGCACTGTTGTACACATATGGCAGGCTATGTCCCTGTCCACATTGAGGTAGATAATAAGTGATTAAATATATTAGTATTTCATATATTCATACGTCTTATGATAAAGGAATCAAGCATGGTAAAGGGATAGAGAGTGAATCAGAGTTGTGATTTAGATAAAGAGGACAGACAAGGCTACTCTAAGGGGGTAAACTGAGACCTGAATGAAGCAAAGGAACAGCCATGCTAAGAATTCTAGGCAGAAGCCTCTTAAGTAGGAAGAAAAGTATGTTCAAAAGCTCAGAAGTGGGAAGAAACTTGGCCTGCTGAGTATCATGAAGACCAGAGTGACCCAAACAAGCTGTGGGAGTAAAAGAAATAAGAGATGAAGCAGGGAGAAGATAATAGGAGGCCTTTGTAGTCTGTGGTAAGAAGTCCAGATTTTAGAATAATATATATAGCAACCCATGGGGTTGCATCCTGTTCTTTTGTTATATCAATTTGTTTTTCATTGACTAGTCTGGTTACCCTGTTTTTCATATGACCCTAAATTTAGTGGATCTTCTATTGAAATGCTCTTGATAAAATTTTAAGAGGGAAAAAAAAGAGAGGGGAGGGATCTGGAAGGGCGGGTAGAAGATTTGCAAGACAGCTGCTTTCTACATGGCTTCATATGAGCACAGTGCTTTGCTCTTGTGCTAGACAAGAAGGAAAGGTATCATAAATACCCTGATACTGGCACAGTGAAAAGATGGACTAATCCTGGGACCCTGGTGACAGTGCTGAGCTACAGAGCCAAACTGGGAATCACCTACCTTGAGACTGCCTGAGTGAAAACTAATCAGTGTTTGCATTATTTAAGCCACCATTTTAGTATTTGTGGTTGAACATATCTTAACTGATCCTCTGCCTTATGAAGCAATTACTGTTATTTATTCCCATGTAAAATGGGATCATGTTGTTACTTTATATAATTATATATATTTATATAGGGTGAAATATACTTAGATCTATAAATGAAATTCTACTGAAGCAGTATTCTGAGGAAATGGTCTGTCAGAACTTGAATGTTTAAGTTGGCAGTCTAACTGGTCATAATAACAAGTAAAAGTTACTCACTAAAAAGGCCATTAGAGAACATTTAGGATAAGATGAAAAAAGTTCTCCACTTTGCAGCCAGAAGTGAAATTCAAATATTTTGAAATTTTACCCAGAGTTGAAATTGCCTGCAAATTTTAAATAATGAAGTACTTCATTTATAAACACATTTTAAAATATCTGTTTAATATTTTCTTTACAAGGCCTTACAACCTATTTTATAGACGCCTCTTCAATATACTTATCAGGTATTTTCCTTTTATTTAAAATATTAATATCCAAAATGGAAGCCATATTTAAAACATACATTCTAAGGAAAAAATATATTTAAACCAAGTAAAATCCATGACTGTCCCTAGGTAGTGTTTATTTTTAAATTGAAGTGGAATAATAATTAAAAGATGTTAAAATACGTTTTAGTTGTTTTGCCCAGAAAAGAATTAAAACTATTGTTCAAATGCTGTCATCTTCTATTATAACTCACATTTAATGAATAATAAGCACTCTTAAAATTCATGAATATGTACTGAAACAGTTTTTCTGACATTGGGTCTTTATTCTCTGGTTAGAATAACACATTGCTATAAATCCTCTCCAACTTAGTTATAATTTTAGTGAAGAGATGATCAAAGCCAATCACACATAATTTAAATGAAGGAAATGGATAAATTCATAATAGTTCCATGATTTCAATAATAACTGTAAAGTGAATCCTTGGTCAGTAAAATAGGTCTTACTTCAATTCTACTTTTTCCCCAAAAGTAAAAATGAAGTGTTTTTGATAGGACAGAATTCATGATAATCTGGTATTTGTGCCATCCATAAGATGAATGTCTTCTCTTTGATTCAGTTTACTTATACATAAAATTGGGGACATGATATAAATCCCAACTATAAACATTTTAAAGTAAGGACTTTGTCTCATTCATCTGAGTTTCTTCAGCACATAACACCAGGAACCTTACATGTAACAAGAGAATGAATGAATGAATGAACGAATGAATGGATGAAATAATGTCAATTAGTCTGAAATTAAGGGTAGAACATGAATTTTATGTTGGAAGGTATGAGGTCTATCTGTAATGGTATAATTTTTCGCATAAAACTTAATGTTCTTTGCTTTCTTCAGCTATAATATCAGCCTTATAGAACATATTTTTTAATGTTATGAATTGAATTGTGTCCCCTCCAAAAAAAAAGATACGATGAAGTCCTAAGTCATGGTACCCATGAAGGTGACCCTTTTGGGAAGTAAGGTTTTTCTTTTGATGTGCTAATGAGGTCATCCAGGGATAGGGTGGACCTAAAACTAATCCCTACTGAGTTATGTCTTTTGGAGAGAGCAAAATAGACACAGAGGCACACATGGGGAGGAGCCTGTGTGAGAATCTGTATATAAGCTAAGGAATGCCTATAACTACTGACAAGGAAGGACCCTGCTTTAGAGCTGGTACCCTCATTTCAACTTCTAGTCTCCAAAATTGTGAGACAATGAATATTTGTTCTTTAAAGGCATCCACTTGTATTTTTGTTACAGCATTACTAGGAAACCAAGGGAGGCCCTGGGTGGTACAAATGGTTAACACACTAAGCTGCTAATAAAGGTTGGGGGGCCAGGTCCACCCAGAGGCACCTTGAAAGAAAGACCCCATGATCTACTTCTGGAAAATCAGCCGCTGCAAACCCTGTGGAACACAGCTCAGTTCCAGCACACGAGGTCGCTGTGAATCAGAGTGGACTCGGTGGTAGCTGCAAGAAACCAAGGCACATACCAACTAACCTTTCCCCTGAATTACCCAGGTTGTAGGTAATGGATGGCAACACACGTAGAAAGCATTCACCTATCATTTGTAAGCTGTGAACTATTACCCATGAGTGATCAGGGACACTGAGGTTATTTTAAACATCTGTTCTTATAGAAAGTTATATACTGTTTTTCTAGTTCATTGTTGCCACTCATTCTATAACTTGATTATCTCTAACACAATATGTGTTACATGATATGTATTGTCCTTTATTCTTTTGGTTTGCTTTTGTTTTTTGTTAGTAAATTGTTGCCTTTAAACTATAAACTCCGGAAAGGCATGAATTGTCCAAATGTTTGTTTGTTACTTGTAATCTCCCAAATTCCTAAGATAACAAATACTTACTACATTTAATCAAGCATGATTTTCCTTCTGGAAAACTTTTTTTTTTTTTTTTTTAACCTTGAAGCTAGGTATTGGGGATCTGAAAGGAATAGTCATAATATTCTGTAAAAGCCTCTAAAATTCGAAATGAATGTTCCTACTGTTTTTATGCTCCAGTGCTTCATGTGGGAACATACCCACAGCCATCAAGTTGATTCCAGCTCATAGTGACCCTGTAGGACAGTAGAACTGCCTCATTGGGTTTCCAATGCTGCTGTCTTTATGAAAGCAGGTTGGCTCATCTTTCTCCTGAGGAGCAGTTGTTTGGTTCAAACTGTCAACCTTTCAGTTAACACCCCAACATTTACCCATTTAACGACTGCACCACTAGGGCTCCTTTCATTTGGGACAGTAACCATTAAATTCCAAATTAGTATAGACATGCATTGTACCAACATTATGAATTTCAGATGGTTGGAGTTTTATGAATAATAAAGAATAGATATTTCTTGCAATGTTACAGCATCTTCTGATGGATAAGCTTTAGGATATTTACTAATTACAAATGTGAACAATCATTTTATTATTGTATCTTAACACATTGGGAAGATTTCATTTCCTAAGGGTTTTCCTTTTGGGTGAGTGTAAAGTATTTTGGTTTTGAAATTAATTAGACAGCCTTGTTTCATGGGAACATAGTTTCTTCCCACTATATACATCAAACTCTGAAAACTCAAACTCGCTGCCATTGAGTCAGTTCCGACTAATCCAACCCCCATTGGGTTTCCAAGGCTGTAAATATTTACAGAAGCTGACTTCCTCATCTTCTGTGGAGTGGATGTGGATTTGAACTACCAACCTTTTGACTAGCAGCCAAGTGCTTTAATCATTATATTACTAGAGCTCCTTCACTACTATATGCGTACAGCCCACTAAATAAATAACAAACATTTACTATCAACATACCCTCATCTATAACTGAACAAAAAAAAAGGTCTATCAACTGCTTCAAATTCATTAACTTGGAATTACAGCAAATGAACTTTTTATTTTGGCAGGAAGAAGCACTGCATGGGTTTCGAGTGAGTAATTACTTTGAATACATGGAAATTTTGGAGCAAAACTACAGACCAGTGCTGCTGAGAGACATGCGGAACGTTAGAGTGCCAAGCACATAGATGGGGAATACAGTTTAATTTTGTTTTATGTGTTTTTAAAAGAAACAAGGGAATTTGATTGTTTTCTGTCTGTATCTATAAAAAATGTATGCTTTGTGAAGGCACATATTGTAAAATCAATTCTGAGAGTTTTTAATATAATATTTTTAAGTAGACATTAGCTCAATTTCTGACAGAGTGAATTCATGTTTTTGAGTTTGTTGTTTTGTAAGGTGGCTTTAGAATCCATCATTGCTTACCTCTACTGTAGCCCTTACTGATGGTTAAGAGCTGCTCCCAACCTACATCTCCTTTTTCACCAGATGATTATAATACATTTTTTAGCAAGTTTGGAAAGAAGAAGCAGTGTTCTAAATGATTGTTTTGTTAGCCAGGGAGAGTCCATAAAGACAATGAAAAGACATACTTGTTTTCTCCATTCTTTGTGTCTACATGTAAAGGAAAATCGACAGAACCACAACAGCTTCTTTTACATGTTGAGGAATAAATGATGCTTATCATGGCAAGTGGTGGAAATACTGTTTGCAGACATAATTGTTTTCTACAGTTTGTTTCTGATACTTACATCAATTTATAATTTTTCATTTGAAATGTTGTCTCTGCATGGTTCATTTAAAAGATAGATTGGTTATTCCACAACAATAAGCATTCTACAGTCATTTGTTTTGTGTTTTCTTTAGTTATAGATTTGTTGTACTGAACTTGAAAGCATTAATGACAAAAAATTTCTAATTTTTAAAAAATCACTATTGCTGTTTTATTTGAATAGAAGTCTTTGCTCCAGTAAGATTAATACATTATACATTGTGTGAGATTTTTTCTTATAACTGTCACATTTAATATCTGAAAAATAATAGACAAATACATATGTTAACTTTTTAGTCAGCAATTCAATTCACCAAGATTTTTAATTATAGATAGAAGTTGTTTTGTATTTCTTGCTATATCCAAGTGTAAATGAACCATTAAACCATTCTGTAGCTAACCCTACTTTACTCATTTGTAACCAAAATTGACTGTTCCACAAACCTCTTTTCCTTTTAGCATGATGAAACAACTGGTACAGTTTTCAATTTTGTGATATTTAGGATATTGCAATACCAACCTTCCAAAATGAGGTTTTATGCTGTAAATGCCAACAATAACTTCTCAGTAATGCACCATTGAAAAAGAGGAGAAAAGAAAATTGAGTAAGTTAATTTGATGTACTGTATGTACATGTTAGCTCTAGATGACGTGAGTTAAGTAAGAGAGTCCTAGATGACCCAAAACCTCCAGCTTTGTCGACCCTCAAACTTAATTTTGAAAAGCTGTTCCACGGAACCTGTGATATATATTTATTGTTCCATTTCTTGCTATTCTCTACCTGAGTTATTGTGACTCATCCTAAAAATCTTACAACACTTTATTCCTTTTTAAAAGCTCTTACACAAAATTGGAAATAAAAAGTGGAGAAGGAGGAACTATATATTAATTTTAGAATAGTCAATGCTGATTTTGATTGGAAGCTCAGGTAAGATATAGATTATAGCAGTTCCACTTCAGGAAGGTAACTTCAGCTAGAGCCAGAGACTTGCTTTCATTTTCATTTGAGAAATAAGCTCTATCTTTTGAACAATGACTTAGCAATTTATTTGGCGAAAGAAAATGTAAGATATGGTAGTTTGTGTAGCTACCATTATGAATTATTTTTGTACTTTTTATTTTAAAAATACACTTTAGAACATAAATAAATACAGTGCTGTCTTGTCCTTTAGTTTTTTTTGTTTGCTTTTTTTTTTTTTTTTTTTAAAGTATAAGTCCTTAGGACATAATTTGTTAAGGGGTACTTCGTATGTTTTATGGAATTAAGTTATAAACTATATTTTATGATACTGTGTAAACAAATTTGTGAAAATTTTAAGTACTCATATAAAACTGAGTATCTGCTTTTGAAACTTAATTTTTGGAGTTATGCTTCTTCATGATATAAGGTATCTAAAGTATCTGTGAAGGTTGAGTAAGTCTCAGAAATTTATCAAGAATTCCTAACAAGATTCCACCTAAATTTATGATTATTAAATTATAGTCTGTCCCAGTTTGATTTTCCAATTCCCAGATGTTAAATAAATTTGTATGGCTATTCATTCAACAATTATGTTTTTTGCCTGAAGCAATTTTTAAATCTTGAACCAAAACTATCCCATGAAATCATTTTCTAACTAAACAATTGAGCTCAATTAATGAAGAATGTTTGCTTGAACACTGCACTCTTTTTAAGAATTATCTGTATGACATCGAATTAACAGTAGTAACTCAAAAAGCACAGACGATAACTTCAAGGGTCAGGAGCCTAAGTTAAAGGGTGAACAATATGGGTAAAGACGGTGAGAATGATGATACAATGTGAAGTATATAACCTTCGTCATCTAAAAACTAGACCAGATTATGTTTTGTTCACTAAGGAAACAAAACTTCTGTGACCAAGCTACTGTTTTTCCTACACCTTCTGTCTTCTGCTTTTGTGTGTTACCTGTCAGTGTTTTCCCCCACAGTTGTTCTGTTCTGGCCATCTTCTTTCACTTCTCCAGTCTCTTGTCTTGGGTCATCTCATTCACTGCCAAGGTTCAATGAACATTCGTTCCTATGCTGATTTCTCCCAAAATTGAGTGAAACAGAAGAACTTCTTCCATTCTTGTCTTGCTGGAAGATAAGATATCTCTATAACTAAAAGGAAGCAAGGCACTCTGGTGGCTCAATGGTTAAGTTCTTGGCTGCCAGCCCTGAGGTTTGAACCCACCAGCCGCTCTGTGGTACAAAGATGTGGCAGTCTGCTCCCTTTAAGATAACACCCTTGGAAAACCTTTGGGAACAATTCTACTCAGTTCTGTAACATCTCTCTGAGTCAGAATCAACTCTAAAGCACCCAACATAATGTTACTGGGAAGATTAAAAGGAGGGGAAAGTTAGAAAAATAGTAAAAAGTAAGTGAACACTTGTCCTCCATCTTTCCCTAGATAATTCAGTAGGAAAGATTTGAGGCAGAGATCCTGTGTGGAAAGGGAGAAGGGTGGGGAGACGAGAAATTGTATCTGTGAATGATTCTGCCATTCCAAACAGGAAATTCTCACTGATTCTAACTTTGGTGTCTTTCCTATGTGACCCTTTATATTCCTGTAGTCCCTACACTGGTGCTAGTTAATTCCCTTGTTCTGTTTTATTTTCTTCCACACTGTTTTGGTTACCTCTGTCTGCTCTAACAGAAAATATACCAAAAATGAGATGGCCGTAACAAACAACAGTTTATTCTCTTACAGTTCGGAGGCTAGAAGTCCGAGTTCAAAGTGCCAGACTCTAGGGGCTGGGTGAAAGCCCCCCGACCTTGGGCTTCAGCTCTGCCTCTCGCTCCTGGCCACTGAAGCTGGAGCCATCTCTTCACTCAGGCAAGAGATGTCTGCTGAGGCTAACAAGCCCAAAGTCAACAAAATGGCACAGTCCAATGTTACCAATCAGAAGGAAGGTTGGGCAATTCTACTTCCATAGTGATACTGCCTCGGAAACCCAAGGAGGGGTCACTATGAGTCGGGGCTGACTCGATGGCACGTAACAACAACAACAACGTTACCAAACCACATGTCAAGCCATTAATTCAAGTCTGTTGAAAGTCCCAGGGCTGGCAGAGCATGGCAGGCTGCTGAACAATGACATGGCTACATAACAGGGTTCAAGCATGCCTTAAGCTAGACACCATTCCCAATGCTGTTTCTTATATGTGAGAAGCAGACCACATACCCAAAGGCAGCTACTCAGCTGCTCACAGTATATTCCACCATGGAGTTGATTACCAGTCTCATCATGGGGAATACTACATCCAGCTGCTCAGCCAATCAACGAGGCCTAGCCAAATTGACACACAAACTTAACTACCACACACACTGTCACTGAGAATATTTTAAAGCAAATAATCTGACAACATCCCTCCCCTGTTACCAGCATTATCAAGTGATGGCCTATAATTCCATAATCTCATCCACCTACCAAACTCTACCAGAAATCCTTGCAGCCTAATAAAGAACATGTGCTTCCAGAGTGATACAGCTTCAGAAACCCAAGGAGGGGTCACTGTGAGTCTGGTCCAACTCCACAGCAGTGTGTTGTTTTTGTTTGTAGTGTAAATGCAGTTTCAAGACAAATCCTAATACTTCATTCCAGTCACACTGCTATCTCTGTGCACCTCAAATGGGGATTTGGGAATCACCATAGGCACTACTGAAAGCCTTCAATATGTTCTCATTTCCTTCAGTATAAAACCCAAACTACATAGCCTGAAATGTGATCCTCCATAATATGATTCTAGTTTTTCTATGATTGTCACAATTCCTCCTGATCTCTCACTTTTAGGCTTAGTGAGCTGCTTTTTATCTTTACCCCAACTTTACTCCTCCACTTTGCTAGTTAATTTCTAATCATTCAAGATTTGTATGTGATTAGTCATTACTTCTACATTCCTAATACAGTGTCTGGCACCTAGGTATTTCAAGAATATTCAGTAGATTGAAGATGACAGAACTAGTCAGCAGAATTACAAACTGTGGCCTATTATCCTGACTCAAAGCACAGAGCACTTTAATAATATAAAATGTTTATTCTTCATTCCACAGAGATATCTACTGAGTCTATATTATGCTCTAGTTACTGTGTTAGTCACTTGGGTTATCAATGAATAAGAGACACCCCCCCAAAAAAAAAAAAATCCTTACTGATTTTTGTTTAAAATGATGGAAAATTCAGCAATGATTAGTGATATTTGCAAAAAATTATTTATGTACTTGATATCACTAAATCGTACACCTGAAGAAACTTATATTGGTAAATGTGTGTATATATATACATATACACACACACACACACACACACACACATATATATAATACAACAAGGGAAAAAATGAAAAGACAAGCAGCAGAATGGGAGAAAAACAAAGAACTCTTTAACAATAAGAAACAATTACAAAATAGGCA